CCCCACGTTTGGTAGTGTATGCTCTATTAACTATACTTAAGGCCTAACTGTGATTGGCTTGAACTATAAGGGGGGGGAGAATATCAACCAAAGAAATCAGGAGGGGGCGTGTCATTTATTCTGAAATGCATACATACCAATTTTATATACGAAATTCATAAACTGCTTTCCAACGCAATGCGTACAATATTTAGAACATAGCTTATATCCTTCGCCAACGCAACCATCATAGCTGTCGTCTCTTCCTACAGCCTTATAACTATTCATGAACGGTCCGCTCCAACACTCACCTGTGGGATTTTAAAGAATACAGGAATCAAATGCTTGTCGTTTTTAAACCTACCTTGCAGCATGTATAGGACCCCCATCTTTTTTGGTTAGACTGATTCATCCGAATATAGAATGTTTCTTATTCCTTTCAATTGGCAAATCATGGGAAAAGAGCATTTAATTTGACTCAGGTAATACACCATTTTAGAGTTTTAAACGCCATCTTGTAAAGTAGCCAAGCCTTTGCATCAAAATAACTAAAAAACTAAATAATCGAGATAAAACATAATGGATTGGTGGGAAAAACCGGCCAAGGGAACTGATTTACATAGACCGATTAACACACTGCACCCTTTTAATAAGTCCCGAGGTATTGTGTTCTCCGCACTTGACGTCAAATTTATTCTTTTCAAATTTTTACAATACAAAAGGAATTCAAAAGAATAAATTTGACGTCACTGAAGAGCGGAGTCCCTCCCCAGTCCCTCCCCAGTCCCTCCCCAATAGATCAATCAGTTGCGTACCATAGAACTGTAAACCAAAGACTCGATAGCCTTTTAAGGCTGCCTTCTGAGCACATCTACAGGCTAGCCCTACTATATATTCGTCCCAGTTTCGCCAGTCAATTGATCGATTGTTGTAGACTTTACTCGTCTTATCCCGTTCATTAAGAATTTCAAATGGCAAAGCTCGAGGCTTGTGATTGTTGTCTTTGTAGCAGCCAAGAGCATGGTACTCTATTTTACATCCGACGATTAAAGCTGCAATAAATAAGAGAAATGACACTGGAAGAAGGAAGGAAGGAAGGAAGGAACGAATTAGGAACGAAGGAATGCCATGATGAAGAAGGCGAGAAAGAAGCTATAGAAWTGGAATGTAGAAAAGAATTTAAGTAATGTGGGAAGAAAGGAAATAGTGCAAAATGTGTATTGAGAAACGGACGAAGGCGGTAGCAAGAACGAACACCATTTGCTACACACATTGGACGGTCTTTAGGATTAGAAAGTGACGGAAATCTCTTGAAGTATTTGCTTAATTGTTAAAAAAGAAAACAAGAAAAAAATTATTATTTAAATCACAAAAATAAAAACAAGCAAGAACTATACCTGAATAGGATAAGACAACCGCCACAAAGATCACAAAGACTTCCATTACTGAGCTGTTACTAACACTAAATAACGGTGATATTTCTCCAGCTAGCGACCAATTTATATTTTATTCTATTCCCCAGGAAACACAGGTATAATACAGGTAATATTGAAGGGTGAAAGGTCGTTGATTATATGATTGAATCTATCATCCCTGATTGTTATTTAACGGTAATCAAGAAAACCTATTTAGCTACAAATTACCTGGAAAATGGTTAATCTATTTCATATAACTGCCTTTTCGTTGACATTAAGAGTTGTATTTTACAACTGGTCTAATACAACTAAGCACTAGAAACTCATTTGACAGAAACAATTCTATAAAAACAGTCATCACATATTTCGAGAGTGGTATGCAGATCGCTATGAAGACGGTTTCTTTAACAAAAGGTGACTTAAGACTATATTTCTTGAAGGTACGGTGTCTTTGCTATAAACATCCACAGCATTACAACTGTTGCTTGCTGGAATCTTGGACGTTTTTTGCCGACAAACATGCAACAAGGCCAAATCAAAATTTTGGAATGGAAACTGACAAAAAAGATTTTTAAACGTCTTGATTTGATCAATGAACAAAATGTAGAAAATGCTTGCAAACGTGTTCGTATCAAAATTTAATTTTATATTAAACAATCAATAAAAGTTTTACAAATTTTATTATTTCATAATTAGAAAAAAACTGTTACATTTACAAAATATGCAAAAGTATTAATAAATATATATCTTATCTTAAATAGATTGCTAAATTCTTTGAGTATTACTTGTTTGTGCACTGAAATAATGCTATAAATACTTAGTTATACTCTTGAGACCTGCAAGAGAAAAAGTGGATGAACATGAAAAAAATGAAAGATTGAATGCATGGTATAATAGTATAATTGATGGAWGAATGGAAGGATGGATGGGAGGGGTAGGTGGGTGGATAAATGGATGTGATACGGACCTCTCGGTGGTGTGTGTTGCCATGGATTTCTCTAGTCGGAATTAAGGCTATGATTGGGTATTTACTGATCTCATTCATGATCGAAAAACTTCGAACAACAAGTTGAAAAGTTGAAAGAAGTTGTGTCATTTGATGTTACGTTTGTCATCTGGTTTGGTGGATATCAAAGTGTTCAGACTACGCCGAAATTCGCAATAATAAACACTGACTGAATAAATCACTGTATTTAATATTACTGTATTTAATGTAATATCACTGTATTTAATATTAGTGTATTTAATGTAATATCACTGTATTTAATATTACATTCATTTTTGCTTTTTCATTGGACTTACCATTTTATAAAATTCATTTTCCGACGATCGATCTTCTTCAGCAACGGAATTGTTAAGCACAGTCAATAGCTGTAGGAAGCAAATGCTGGGTTAATATGACATGACGCCGTTGCTTTGCACTGTCTGTCTGTCTGTCTGTCATACAATGACAATGGGGCGCCATTGAAGAAAGAATTCTTCAGTCAGAAACTCCACACAAGAAAGTAACAACCAGTAAAGGAAGAGGAATACTCCGGTTTTTGCTATTGCTATCATTGTTGTTGATGTTGTTGTTGTTATTTTTGTTGTTGCTGTTGTTGTTTTTGCTGCTGTTGTTGTTATTATTGTTGTTGTTGTTGTTGTTGTCGCTGTTGTTGTTGCTATTGTGGTTATTGTTGTTGTTGTTTCTATTGTTGTTGTTATTGTTGTTGTTGTTTTGCTGTTTCTGTTGTTGTTGTTGCTGCCGCTGCTACTGTTGTTGTTGTGGCTGGTATTGTTGTTGTTGTTATTATTATTGGTGTTGTCACTTTTTGTCTGTCTGTACTACGTTCTCCTGGTTGCGATTTGCGTAGAGAATGAAATATGAAAAGAAAGACACGTAGACCAAGAGAAGATTTTTATTAGAATCATTTGCAAAGTAACACAAATGAACAATCAGTATTATTAGGACAGAAAACATATTGGTTACCATTCCATTTCGGTCATGACAAACCGCAATAGATTGGGCCAAGTAGAGTCACAAGATAGAATAAGATCAAGCTGATAGAACAGAAAGCTAACGATAGACTTTAAAGACGAAAGATTAGAAAGATCTCGCTAAGGCCTTCACACACACACTTGTCAGTTGTAATTAATGCACGCAATAAACCGCGGTAAGAACCAAATAAAATGAGAATTTAATCACTTCGGCAAAAAGTGCTTCGTCTTTTCTCAAAATCGATCGTCAGCCTTACTAATTTAATGAAGTCATTGTTTTTAATTAATTGCCTGAAGCGGTGATACCCATTACCCCACGCTCAAACCTCACTACAGGCAGCCCAGTTAACATCAACTTACGTCAGACTTTTGACTGACAATATTTTTTAGCATAACAGTAGAACAGGAACAGTTATCAAGTATAGATAAAAATTTGATAATAAATAATCAAGTCCAGCTTGTGGAACAGACCTGCTTTCCAAAAAATAGATTATCTCTTTGCTCAAAATTTCCCTTTYAATTCGATAAAAAATTGCTTTTTTGAATTATTGTTTTTTTACTGCAATCACTTCTCATTTTTAAAGTTTTGCATATCAAAATGTTTCTCTAAGAAACAGCTTAACTATACTTTTCGACTCATTCTAGTTTAGTTTAGCGATTGGCATTCACTTTGGACATTTTTACTACATTGGCAGACAAAAACAAAATTAAAAGATGTGCCAATGCAAACCCACAGGTTTTGAAGCCAATATTCAAAATAGCGCGGACACTCTTATCAAAGTGAATAGATTGTGTTCTGAAATAACCAAACGAAATGCCCATCAACCAAAGAATTTCATTAGAAAAGAAAAAAGAAGACAAGAAAAACATAGAGTGTGCGCAATATTATCAATAATTATTATTAAATTATTAATTATCATTAATCAACGTTATGATTTCAGACCGGTGTTTCTCTGTTTTCGTCTTGCACYGCGCTTCCCTCAACGAATTCTAACAATAGCTCGTCTTCGCCGTCTTGATTCCCATCGGCGTCCGCTCTAGTCGTGGGTTGCTGTGCACCCCCCTGATCYTTTGGTCCTTCATTGTTATTATTACCACCACCACGGTCAACATTGTCAGTTCCAGTCCCCTTAGCTCCAGTCCCTCCATGAGAAGAGTTTAAATCGGTCAATCTTGCGTCCATTCGATTTAAAACGCGGAGGATGCTCTGAAATCTTGAAAGAATTTCTTTTTGTTATTCATATAGTACGTGAAAACGTGGGTATCTATAGGCATAATAATATGCATGCTGTACGTATCTCTACACGACCTTCCMTTAATTACATGGGCTTCCTGTTTATGACAATGTCTTAATTTACAAATATTTATGAACRATCTGCGTCAAATCATAGGCAACGAGGAACGCCTGGGACTAAGCTGCTGTGTTGCCGAAATAATTTTACAAAGGAAAAATKTACGGCCTCATCTAAGGCTCGAACCGAGTACCACTCAATACAGTGATATCGCCGTGAAAGCAACACAAGTGAGATATATCATATTGCCACGTGAAGCCCGTGTATGCGATCTTTGATCGTCTAGTTCGATAAGTTTTGATGTTGTAGCATTTTTGAGGTCTACATCTAGTAACAAGGCTAAAATGATACGTACTTGTCTTCCTGTTGATCCACCTTTTTAGCGAGTTTCTCTAGTTTTTCTCCTATTGCTAGAAGTGCTGGATTCACATACGTCTCCTGGTTGGACGTCGTTCTCTTCGGTGAACCAAACTCTGTTAGCCTCTGCTTCCAGGTTTTCTTTCGATTGGGAAACTCGACGTAGTAAGATACCCAGATTTTCCGAAGAACTTTCCTTGGTGTAGCCCGTTCTAGCTCTAGTAAGAGTTCAACCTATGAAGTAAAAGCCGTATTACGCATGCTCGTGTGTGTTTTCTAAACCTATCCCACATGGTTTAGAGTTATTTTTCAAGAAACTGTTAAATAGGCTAAAAAAATCGTTAGATTAGCTAAACGTRGCGAAGTTCAAAAGCAAACGTACCTGCATTGCATGTTGTTCCATTTTAGCGGTCTGCAGTATACGATTGACGTCACCAACCGATAAACCAATCAGTAAGTTCTTGATAATAATTGGCATACACACACAAAATATKATATAGATGATATAGCTGATGTATGGATGAGGCAGTGGCTGGTACTTGAACATTGTATGCGGGTATTTCATCTCTCCCAGTATCAACATAAACGTGGTGAAGAGCGAGTAGGACAAATAATTAAATAGAAAATCTTTTTCACTAGTGGTGCTATTTGTGTTTGCAGTGYTGTATTCTTCGGTGACGTTAGACGACGAAATATTAATATCACAATCGAGTTGCTGAAAGAAAAATTTGGACTGTTAATCACTGTTTACATAAGAGTTTGTAAAAAAAAACTTGGTTGAATAGCGGGCAGAATAGTCTTCGTCACGGTTCAGCCTGCGCCATCTTGAAAATTTAGCTGTTGACTGATATAGGGACCCCCCATTCAGACCTGTTTGAAATGTAACCGTGTCTTAAGCGAAACGATTGATGGGCCTGCAATGGTAAACGATTTGAAAAGTTCTTTATGCTGTGAACGAAAGTTTTTACCATTGTGCGTTCAACGGTCTTCGTCTGGCTCGGATGCAAGGAACGGTTACATTTCAAGATGGCGGAGGAAACCATGGATGAGACTTTTTGCCAATAAGCAATAAAATGGTTTTCAAGCCTACATTGATTGTGCATTCTGGACCTTTACATTGGTTATTTTAATCAAGCATTGTGCAATGTACTTAGCCTACTGTTAGTATATCGAGTTATATTTCAGCTTCTCTGCGGGCGACTCCTTTTCATTTCCGGAGCGGCCTTCCTGTGGTAGCTATATGATAGGACTCAAAAAGGACCAAAAGACCGAATAATCTTAAGGAATTCCTGCAGAGGGGGCTAGTTACATTAAAACTTACCCTATCGTCGTTATTCAGCAATAAATAAAATGGTATACCAAATGCAATRACAAACGGAATAAACAGAATTATAATCTGAAAGGAAATTAAACGTGATATTTTAATCAAATGAAGATCAGTTTTCATTAATCTGCGAAGCAATTTCTGAATTTTCTTGGCCAAGAAGGTTCTTACCTTAATTAGAGTTTTAATAATGTTTGTCATCATAATAATGTAAATACCAAACGTTGAAAACCTATAGGATAAGAAAAAATAAATGAGATTTTATAACACACATGTCAAATACGACGTAGTTTTAGTAGTATTATGGGTTTATATGTTTGTCTGAAATGCACTTTAATATTGCATGATGGTCGTCGTGAAGTTACCTTCTAAGATATAAGACAAAGATCACCCAAGCAATGAAAATAGCTGTAGCGGCCAGGGGCCTGGTACTTTCAGAGACGCACGTGACTTTGCTATTGGAGAGAAAKGCATACTGGGTCATGTAGACAAGGCTTGACATGTACAAGAACCATTCCATCCAGTTATCTGCTTTGAACAGGTACTTTAGTTTCTGGGGGTTAAAAGAAGGGGGAGTCAAACACAATTAGTTGCAACTGCTGATTGGTTCTTTRAACTAATGACGTCATGCTTGTTTCGKCGAGGTGCATCATGGTAATGATAAAAGTATCAAGATGGCGGAAGTCTTATATAAGCTATAAATGACGATGTTTCTTTTCGAAATTAACGTTACTGTTGTCCAAGGATACCTATATACTAGAGCATACCAAAAGAATTGTTTGGTATATAAGAAATACAATTATTGTTCGAAAAAAAGCACGTTATGTATCATTGTTGATTAACATTTATGGATCTGAATTTTCAAAGTAGATTGCCGCTCACCTCATCCCATATTTGGAATAGCTCTTTCAGCAAATGAAACAAACACATAACTATGATTGTGTATTTGGGAATATCTATCCATAGCGTATCCATTACTTCAGAATCTAATAATACGGTCATTGATGTCAGCAGTAGTAGAAATAGCATGTAAAACGACAAATTCATGACGTAAGCCTTCCATCCAACACTGCGCCTGCAATGTTTAATTACAGCGGTTATATAATCAGTAATCAGTTAAGGTATATGCAGTAGTTTGATTATACCATTTGATGTTCATGATGGCTCCACAGACACTATGAGAAAGGCAGTTGACTCTCTTGTGCTTGACCATCGTCTTGTGAAAAAAATGGAAAAATTGTGGTTATGTTTTTTAAATAATGATCGTTTTTTTATTGAGAATTTCTAGTGTCGTTCTTTACATTCTTCTTTCTCCATCACCCCGAAAATATTTTAATTTTTAATTTTTTTTTAACCTTAAAAGATTCCTGTACTTGCTGCACAGGTGTCTTCCTGGAGAAAACCCCTTCATTCCGGCGTTTGTTTAATGCGTTTTCCTGATCCCCCTTCCCCAACTTTTGTTGCCTTCTAGTCGGTATCTAATCATCACCCTCTCTTATCAAGCTTTATKTGAACGTTTTTCCACTTACATGTAAGCAATCTAAGAACTTTTTTGGGTCGTCTTTTCTAATGTCAGGCATTCCTTGTAAAAACATGAAGTCATAGGTAATCTGTGAAAGACGACATCATTTATTTTCCATATGAGAAAATTCTTCATTACTTCTGAAGTAGCTTCTGTTACTTTCTCAGAAGAATTGCATGCCGTCCCTGCTATACAAGTGTACATAACGAATAGCATTTCTCTCTTGAACCGATCTGGCTACATTGTAGACTGGCTTCCTTACCGAGTAATCTTCGTCCTTTACAGA